TTTGGATGAATTCAAGGAATTATTTGAACCAGGAGTAGGACTCATACCTCACAAAAAAGCACACTTACAGCTTGAAGGGGCAAGACCTATTTTTGTGAAGGCTCGTCCAGTCCCATATGCACTAACTGAAAAAGTAGAACTCGAGTTGAATCGTCTGGAAGAAGCTGGAATCATTTCCAAAACAGACAAGTCCGATTGGGGTACTCCAATTGTACCTGTAGTAAAGCCTAATGGTAACATACGAATATGCGCTGATTACAAGGTTACAGTAAATAAACAAATCAAAGAAGAACATCATCCAATACCTCGGATCGAAGACATTTTTGCTCAAATGAATGGAGGACAGTTGTTCTGTACTTTGGATTTAAGCAACGCTTATCTCCACTTGGCAATGGATGCTGAGAGTGCAGAAATTCAAACTTTGAGCACTCATAAAGGACAATGCATCGTTAACAGACTGATGTTTGGTGTAAAAGTTGCTCCAGGGGTTTGGCAAAAGGTGATGGACGGAATCCTTCAAGACCTTCAAGGTGTTCAGTGCTTCTTCGACGATATAATAATTCAAGGAACGTCATCAAAAGAACTACTAGAAAGACTAAAGCAAGTGTTTGAGCGTTTAAGGAGTCAAAATTTGAAGTTGAACCGTGACAAGTGCAAATTTTTTCAAAAGAAAATTGAATACTTAGGACATGTTATTGATGCCACTGGAATCCACAAAAGTAAGGATAAAATCACAGCAATTACAAATGCACGAAGGCCTCAAAACATACAGGAACTCCGATCTTTCCTAGGGCTTGTTAATTACTACAACCGGTTTGTAAAGAATTTGTCCACTGTTTTAAATCCTTTACATAGACTTCTAAAAAAAGGGCAGTCATTCATATGGGACAGTAAGTGTGAAGAAGGTTTCCAAAACATCAAGAAAAGAATAACAAGTGACACAGTTCTTTGTCACTTTAACCCAGACCTGCCATTGATCCTTGCAACTGACGCTTCACCAGTGGGACTTGGAGCAGTGATATCACATCGTTTCCCAGATGGAAGTGAAAAGCCTATAGCTTTTGCTTCAAGATCATTGACCAATGCTGAAAAACATTACAGCCAAATCGATAAAGAAGCCACAGGTATATACTGGGGGTTGAAGAAATTTTTTTCTTATTGCTACGGACGTCATTTCACACTCATCACGGACCATAAACCATTAGTGTCAATTTTCAATCCCAACAAGAGCCTACCGTCAATGTCAGCTACGCGACTATTCAACTACTCCCATTTTTTATCAGGATTTAACTACACAATTGAATTCAAGAGAACTGGTGACCATGGCAATGCAGATTTCCTCTCAAGATTTCCTGTGGAAGATTCAAAATTTACAAGTATTGACTAGTTTGGACATTTTCAAACAAACCAATTGAACACCATAACTATCAATCCCAAAGAACTAGCCGAAGAAACTAAGAAGGACGCATATCTAAAACAAATTCTTGAGGCTCTTGAGGAGGGTCAATCATTAGAGCCATTGGGATTTCACGATAATGAAGTTACATTACATGAAGGATGCCTCTTCAAAGGGTGGAAAGTAATCATCCCAAATTCCCTCAAGAAAAGAATTCTCAATGAACTACACTACGGGCACATTGGTATAGTAAAAACCAAAGCTTTGGCAAGAAGTTACTGCTTTTGGAGAGGAATGGATAAAGACATTGAAAACATGATTGCTGTTTGCAAGCCTTGTCGTGAGAAACAAAATTCTCCAACGAAAGAGATCAACCATCCTTGGGAACCAGCAACTCAGCCATGGGAGAGAATACATATAGATTTCATGGGCCCAACAAATGGACAACAATTTTTCATTGTTGTTGATGCCTTCTCCAAATGGGTAGAGGTAATACCCACAAAAACAGCAACTACCGATTGGACTATTAAGGAGTTGAAGAAACTTTTTAGTACTTTTGGTCTTCCAAGCCTCCTAATTTCAGACAATGGACGAAGTTTCACTTCTCTTACTTTTCAAGAGTTTCTTAAGTCATGTGGAACTCAACACAAAACGACTGCTCCCTTCCACCCATCATCTAATGGACAAGCTGAACGCTTTGTACAAACAGTGAAGAAGATGTTGAAGTCGATATTAGATGAACCAGGAACACTTGACAGTAAAATTCACAAGGCGTTAATTCAACTCCGTCAAGTACCAAACTCAACAGGAAACTCGGCATACTATCTCATGTTCAACAGACAAGTAAGAACATACCTCAGTGTTATGATACCTTCTAGAATCGAGGACTCAAAAGACAAACCTAAAGGTATAACACGCATATTTAAGGTGGGAGACCGTGTTCAAGTGAGAAACTACTACAAGGGTCAGACAAAATGGAGTTTCGGAAAAGTTACATCAAGAGATGGAAATCTACATTACAACGTTGAACTGGAGAATGGAGTAACATGCAGACGACATGTAGATCAAATGCTGCGGTCAAGACTTTAAAGGGGGAAAATTGATGTGTCTTTTCTAACATACTGTATGTAAAAATACCATATGTTATGTTTAATAAGTTAGGTAACTTTGTTTTTGTTTACAATCATTGTTATTTTAGGATTCAATTCAGAATACACCTATTTTATTTTACACATCTTTTATTTAATATGTAACACAACATAAATGGAATTCATTTCAAATTTTCCTCAACAGAAGACCACATCAAAGAAAAACTGAAACTAAAGGAAATATTTGATAAGTGTTGCACCAACACTGGCATTCAAAAATTGCATGCTTTTCTTCCCCTTACCAGGAACAAAATTGCGACAAAAAAATACTCTAACTCAAATGATAGCCAAATAGAGCGAGTAACAGATTTAGATTCAGATCCTGTACCCTTCAATGAGATTAAATGTGGGGGCTACTTTCACTATACACCTTATAAAAATGGAGATACAACAACAAACTTTTGGGCTAATAGGAACAACATTGTTTTATTTTTAATAATTATTATGTTCATAGTAGGGTAATCTTAAAGCCAAGAGAAGTCACGTTAAAACTTACAGCATATAGTAAATAGTTTGACATATAGCCTAGCCTATATTAGTTGTTCATAAGTAGGGCCACTTGATACAAACATTTTTCCGAACTAGGCATTGTGCAGCCAATGCGCAATAAATGCTCACTCAGAAACATTACTTTGAAGATGTAGTGTTTAGGTATGATCCCATGTCCGTCCAATAATTAAACTTACAGCATTTATGGTCAATAGTGTAAAGTACATCATACATTTTTTTCAGAATTTTAAAAATACCATTTTTTTAAATACGGTACGTAACATTTTTCAAAACTTTCTTGGAAAATGGAATTTTTTAGAATATAGTCATGTTGCATATCAAATTAAAGCCCTGAACAACAGGAATGAAATGAGACCTTTCTGCCTTCTCTAGCATGAATAGAACTCAGTCTGTGAATTTTTCAAGATCTCCCCGCAAGTAAAAAAACGCCGATTTTTGAAGTTTTTAAAAATTAATTATAAATAAACGGGAAGATATAAAAATAAAAAAAAAATGTTCTGTGTTTGTATTTATTAGGGTAACAAACGTGGAAAATTTTATAAAAATCTGAGATGGTCGGGTTGTGACCCTTGTTGATTTGATATGGAATGGCCCGATTCTGAATCAACCACTTGACGGATTTTCACGATTTTTGTGTTGAAAGAAAGTTAATTTTGAGAACTAGGGAATGTTGAAGCCATAAAATCTTTAGTTTTAGTCATACCAACGATAGCACAGTGACAACGGAGTAATACTGACGATCACGCTGTGACCACGGAATCGTACCGTCGATCACGTGGTGACCGTGAGTCATACCAACGATCACGCCGTGACCACAGAGTCAGATTCTCCAGAGACCGCGAGTCATGCCGACAATCACGCCAAGACTGTGATTCATACTGACGATCACACCGTGACCACGGAGTCATACCGTCGATCACGTGGTGACCGCGAATCATACCACCGATCATGCCGTGACCGCAGAGTAATGCCGACGATTCTGCCGAGACCGTGAGTTAAACCGAAGATCATGCCATGACCACGGGGTAATACTGACGATCACGCCGTGACCGCGAAGTCATACCGCGATTCCGCCGAGACCACGGTGTCATACCGACAATCACGCAGTGGCCGCAGAGTCATACCAATGATCACGCGGTGACCGCAGAGTCATTTCGACAGTCGCACCGTGACCAAGAGTCATTTCGACAGGCGCACCGTGACCGCGAGTCTCAATTTTCTATACAAGTAGGCCTAAATTTTAAATAATTTTTTTGGTTATGATAGACAAGTGCCACAAATGGTAAAAATTGTTTTTGGTTTTCTCATTTGGTAACTGCAATACTCAAGACTTTCTTGTTAAGCACAGGAAAAAAATCCCGTCCCGTCCTGAAAATCGGCAAGGAAATAAAAATCGCGTCCCGTCCTGTCCCGAACTAAAAATTCAATCCCGTCCATCCCTAGTTTTTAGCGAATTACCCATATAGGGAATAAGCTATTACCGTAGTACTCATACTCAAAACAACTGTTTTGAAAGCCTAAAAAATGCCCTAAACTTAGTTTCATTGTTGAATTAAATGCCTGTTAAAACACCCTTCTTCCTCCATGCCAAAGAGTCTTCATTTACTAAATTCACTAGTAAAATTTCTTCATTATCCTCTTCCTCCAGCAGCAAAGTTACAGCAATAAGTCTGACATCCATGTTGTCCATGGCTGAAGATATAATCGCGTGCTGCGAGGGTGGGGTTATAGAAAACACCCTCATTTTTTATCACGCACGTGTGATTCCCGCGTGTCACAAATCACAGATCACGCAATAACACTGCGTGGTTCAGAGAAACCAAGCCTTAATGGACCTCCATGAACTAAGAGAAGTTTAAATTTTGTCTTTCAGCCTGATTATCTTTTTTTCAAAAATTCATCAAACATAGCTTATCTGATTATATTCACCAATGCATCAAACTTACCGCTTCTTTCTCGATCTTCCTCCTCTTGAGATCGAACGTCTGCGCTGCCCAGTTAGTTGCGACTGCAGGATCATCAGTAATGAGGACGTTGTCAAACAAGATCTGGTTGGACATCGTCCACAGCTCAAAGCCGACAGCAAACTGTGAAGCAGAAAACAAAATTGTAAAACAAAAAGCTTGTGGTGGCCAAAATAATGTAGTCGACATGAAACATATGTTAGAAGATGAATTATGACAATTCTTTGTATAATTAGTTTGTACCCTAGAGAATGATAAAACTTTTCATCTGTGCTGTAAGGAAAAACCAATGTTACACCCTTACAGCATGCAGTCTACGTAACATATGCCAAAGAATGAGGTTGACACTAAGTCAAATCCAAACAAGATAAATAATGTTGACTATGTAAATTAAAACTTACGATCGTTGTCATCTTGTACGGATGTTTGTCCTCGAAGTAGTCAGGGTTGGGGATGCGACGAGGACTCCACTTGCCCTGGTAGTTGGGGTTGTCAATCATCGGAGCTCGCCACTTGCCTTTGAACTCCGGATTAACGATGTCTGGAGCCTTCCACTCGCCACAGCCTGGAGCCTCCTCACACGCGGGGTTTGGCACCAGCGGCGCCTCCCACTCTCCGTCCATCTCCTCATCCCTACAATGAGGTGTTAAGAGATCAAGTGATTCCATTACTGATGTACCTCAAGTCAATTCTCGGTACAACCAGTTTTTGTGAAAGTACTAAGTAAGCCTATCGCACATTGCTGTTTTAAAGACGGTTTACCTTTTTTGGTTAAATAGCTTCTTTTCTCATAGGAAAAAAATGTCATCAACGACAACAAATTAATATTATAATTATTGTGTTTAGTAGTTAATTTGTTGTACGTGTCTCCTCCAGGGCTCTCTATCATTATAACCCTCCTAACCCTAAAATTCTTTGAATCCTATATTCCTATTTATCATAGATATAATTGTAGCACATTCCAATTTTTATAACAGTTCTTTAGTTTAAAATGTTGGCAACAAGAAAAAAATCTTATTATTAATTGTGCAAGTTGTTAGTTTTTTTTGTGTTTCTCATTCCCGGATGGACCCTCTATCGTTAGATGAACATCTTAACCCACAAATTTTTTGAATTACTTAGAAACGTTGCACTAGACATACCAGTCAGAGGGTTTCTCAGCAGTAGGATCAGGTATATTCTCAGGTTCGTCGTCTAGCCACCCATCAGGCTTGCTGGCACTGGGATCCGGGATGAACTGAGGTGCGTCCTCATCCCAGTCTTCCGGTTTACGAGCTTCTGCATCAGGGATCTTCTCCCTCTCGTCCCAGTCCTTGGGTTTGACATCGTTAGGATCGTCAATCTCCTGTGGCGGGTTCACTGGGGGAGTGAAGTCTTCCAAAAGACTGCCTTCATTTACTACCTAAAAATAAGACAGAATTACTATGGTCTCTTTAATTTGTTGCATGGCGTTATACGTTATAACATGTTAACTTGAGTTATCAATATATATTTCTCTTAATAAATTAAGAGGTTGGTTTGTTGGAAATTTGTATGCTTGTGATGGAACAGGCGCCCTCATTTAATGACCTTGGATTTGATAGAACTTAGACCTACCTTATGATCCAAGAGGACTTGGAAGGAGTTGTCTGGCTTCACTATTAGAGTGTACAGATGGGGAGTTTTGTCTGTAAAAGGCTCATCAAGTCGCTCCTTTGGTTTCTTGCAGTGCTTCTCCGTTAGTGTTCCGTTCACTGGATTCTTGTGACGGAAGATGAAATGTAGCTGAAAGGAAAAATTTATTTAGAAAATAAGATAATGTCAAGAGCTTTGCTTTCACCATCAATCTAAATTACACATTATTATTAATTTTAAGTTTTAGTTATTTGGAGCGCACTTTGAAAGAAATACTGTAGAATTTACTTATTTCATATACGTATATATATCTTGAATGTATATATCTAGGATTAAGCTCATTACCGGTAGTAAGATTAAAATTTTAGGCTATACCGGTACCTTAGAATTTAAATAAAAATCTGTACTGGGTTCAAAGTCTGAATAGTAATAAAAGAACTGCAAAAAGTAACGAAAGATATTAGAATTAACTAGGACGAACCTTGTAGTCATTCCCGCACTTGTCTGGACCGAACATGATAGTGTAGGGTGTCTTGTCATGCAGCTTGCGCAGGTCGGCCGACTGCTTGTCTTCACTCAACAGTTTGAGATAGGCTCCGCCGCACTCTTGGCCGTTCTGATGGATCACCTCGTACTGGACGATAAGAGGCTTGTCTCGGAACACAAAGGGTCGGTCCAGCTTGGCAGAGATCGCTGAGTGTTTGGCCTTAGACTTCAGCACCAATCCCAGATCACCTTTCAACGGGTCTCGCTCTGCCGGTTCAATCTGCCACACACCTACGATGCAATTGTAAAACATTTGTTAGTTTAAAAGGCTTATTTCTCATATAATTTAGCGAACTTAACCTATTAAATATATGTACCTAGCAAAATCAACTAGGATGCTAAGACAGAATGTTTGACAAAGGGAAGGTTTGAGTTTGGGAGATTAGTTTATAAATTATATTTTCAACTGATAATTAGGGAGCTTTGATAGCAAATTAGGACCTATAACAATATGCTAAATAATAGGGGTGTGCGAGGCAGCAAAAAATTTTTGTTTGGAATCGACGATTTGATACAAAAGGTCTTCGATTTGAATCGATGAAGCAATACGACATTTTTCTATTCATACCTGTCAATGGAGTGAAGTAACAATAGGCTAATTAAAATTTACCACATTTGTGTAATGCAAATTTTTGTTGATGTGGTATTAGGCCTATTCATACATATGACATATATGAATTTTAGGAGAAAAGATATTTATTTTCAATCATATATTAGAAGAACCTGTATTGCTGGAAAAATCAGTGAGCTGCTTGCTGCTTATTTGCCTATTTCATAATTTTTACTTGCAGAATCATATTGTTAAGCATGTTACCTATTATAATATTGATATTACAAATAAAGATATGTTTTGGTGTAAACAAAAATGTATCAGTCTAAAACATTAATTACTAGTTAAGTAAGTTATCGAGTAGCAATTTTTCAGACCTTTGTTAATTTTAGAATGGTTTTTGTGTGACTTGTTTTGGCTATTGCACAGTAGTAAAACATGTCTCACACTGCTTAAACACTTAACAAAACTTCTCATCATTTGCAATATCAAAACAAAAAATTTTAAAACAATTAAAGCAATTAACTTACAAGAAAAGAAAAAATTAAATAAGAAAGCCTACGCAAAGGAAACGCAACAATGCGCTCCTGTATTGCGCGTATTGTGTTGACTTTCTGTAGGCATTTTTCGAATATGGATACTGATTCCCTCATGCATTGAATCGTTTTTTGATCACCACTGAATCGAATCGTGATTTGATGCATTGAATCGATTGGTAATTTCGATGCATTTTTTATGCATCGCCAACCCCTACTAAATAATGAAACCATTATTAGTATGTCTTGATGGAATTATTAGTTAGATGGAATTCTGAACTGCTCAAATAAATTTCACATTATGCTCGTCTCTGATGCAAAATTACCAAAATAACCAAGATCATACTTGTGATCTTTTATTGCAGCAACCCTCATTTCTACTGGACTCAATTCAAATCTTAAACTCTCATCACACAGAGGTTTTTTTTACAAAACTTTTGTAGTAGATCATAATTTTAGAAATATGATAAAAATTCAATCTTAAACCCAATTGACAAAACAATTCCTAATTACATACCATCGTACTTCGCAATGTCTTCATCAATTCCTTCTTTCTTGGCTTCTGACTTGACCCACTTCCTGTTGAAACTTGCCGGGTCATCAAAATGCTCCGCCATGTAGACAGAAGAGCCGGGAGGTAAAGTTGGGGTCACATAGTCAACATCATCAACCGTCTCAACAACTGCTTCGGCCTGTAATGTTGAACCCATTGTTAACACCAGAACTAATACCCCTGGGTAAACAAGTCAGTTAGATAAGCTCTTCAATTAATGTTAAGTAGGCTAGTTCTATTAAATTAAAATAATTAGGAAGTTATATCCAACTTACAATTTGACAGTATAAAACACTGTTTCATAGTAGATATAGTTTCAATTAACTAGAAACCAGTTTTTATCATCACTATGGGAAAATGTTTGGGTAACTTAACTAACTTTTGTTTTAAAAATTTAGGTCACACGCAAAGTTTAGTCACTCAGGGTGGCCACACAACTCCTAGGAAAAATTCACACATTTTTCCCAATTAAATGTGAATTAATTAATTAGTTTTTTTTTTTTTTTTAGATTACGTTAGATTTTCAATGACGCAAAACAAAATAAATCGGCGATTTCGGGCGGGTATTTTCAGCGATAACTATAATTTATTTTAAACTTCACAGTTTTTTTTCTGTCCAAATTGACGTACTATTCCCGGTTTTCTCGGTTTCCAGGTTGGCTGGACACCCTTTAACAGCAGGCCTATATCAGGTAATTCTTATCACCTAATGGAAAAAAAAATTACCGTACTGTAATTATAATTGACCTGGTATCCAAACTAACAAGGACTGAACACTTTAATTTCAGAATAAGCAGATTTCTTTGATGCGAACCTCGCTAATCCGACCTCCGATGGTCCGAACGTGCCGCCAACAAAATAGGCTTCCGCTAACATAACCTCATTGTCCAAGAAAAAGGGAATGTTGCTGAAAGTCAACAGTCCCGGAAGATCAAATAATTTATACCTGTGCCGCTAGGTCAAAAACTACAATGTTTGCAGTGTCTGTAGATCAAAAATCCCAGAAAGTCAAATAGTACAGTCCGGGCTAAAAGTTTAGTCTATGTTAAAGCAATTGACTTATTGGGAATTTGACCTAATGCAACAGCAGGATTAATATAACGAAATACGGTAAAATACAAGTTCAGTTTCGCTGAGTCAAAAGTGTCGGAAGATCAAAAGCAATAAAAGTGAACGTCGATTCAGTGTAAAGTAGACCTCCTGCAACGCTTACTACACCAACAAAACTCGCTTTTAGTTACTTCGTGTTTTGTCATAATTAGAATAGAGCTAAAATTATCATATTTGGTACATAGCTTATTTATTAATGCTTCTTGCCAACTGTTTGGTCAACACTGTAAATAGGTATAGTTTATGTAATGAAAAGCCTTTCGTCAAAATTTGTGGCATAAAATACACGCAAGGACGATCTGAACATTTCTGGTTATTATATACGTTTGTAAAAGGAGATCCATTTAATTGTAGAACTATTTTATGAGTTATAATGTAGTCTACATATAAACTGTGTAATGTATTACGCCACGGAAGGGTTGAAACCTGTCCAAACTATCATATATATTATTATAACGTAAATGGGGTTTTTTCACGATTCTGAATCAACCAGTCGATGGATTTTCATTAGTTTTGTGTTGAAAGAAAGACCATTTTGAGAACTAGATAATTTCAAAGCCATAATTTAAAATTAATGTCCCAGTTTTTTATAAATTAAGTTTTAGTTTTTAAAAAGTCTAGCAGCCGATGCTAACCTTCTCCAATAAGTCAATGCTTCTAGCTAGCTTTTAGTACATTATAATTTGCTTAACATAACAGCTGTAACATTCAGTATTTGTGACACAAATTCAGCATTTGGAAGAAAATTCAAATACATACTTATGGTTGACTTATTTATACTATGTATGTGTAATGCTGACCATTGATACATTTACTTCTTCGGTACGAGGATGGCAGTTTAATTAAATGTGCATAGTAAAATACAGTAGTAGGATGTTCAAATTATTTTTTAAAGTATTCTTTGTAATCATCGATTTGTTTTAGTCCAATATAATTTGTTTTAACTAACAGCTGGTTGAATGTGCTATGTATACTTATAAAAGGCAAAGCCCTCACTGACACACTCACTCTCACTCACGCATCATCACTAATTCTCCCACTTCCCATTTACCTAGGAGGCTGAAATTCGATACACCGATTCTTTGGGCATTAAATAGGAAAACTAAGTAGTTTTTATTATGATCGGGCATTCGGGCTCCGCCCCAGTGGCTCTGGAGTTTCCCATCTTAACCTTATGATTTTTCATATTTAAAAGGAATTAATGAATCATAACAGCTGTGTCAATTTAACAATTTATGACAACAGCTAATTTGCAACCAAAAGCTGAGTGAGCGTTTCGAACGAACTTCAACCTGGAGGCGAGTTAACCCCAAGGCAAGTGAGCTCAGCGAACGAGCTCCAACCTAAAGGTGAGAGAGCGTAGCGAACGAACTTCAACCAGGACTTGATTGAGCCATGCGAACGAGCTAATCTTGAAAATTAATTAGTTTAACGGGGCAAAGCCAGCGGGTACAGCTTGTTATTCTATAGAATTATTAGGTTTTTAGCTGTCATCGTTATTCGGGGACCGAGCAGGTCCCTAGCAGCGACCACAGAATTAAAATTTTAATTTTAATTCTGTGGTCGCTGGTCCCTAGGGCCGCAAAATTAGCTGCCCGCTTACTTACTTAAAACATGAATGCATATTAAATACACAATCAGTATCCATAGAATTATTTTATTGTCACCGTTGCCTAGCAACAATTTATTTTTATTTTTGCTGATGCCTCGAATTATTTCTTCACATAACCTTAAAGTTGTAGTTGTGCTAACCATCAGTGTGCATTATTATAGAGGTGAATAGTGGCAATAGGGTATAGTGTGGTGCAAAATAGCGTTCGTACCACGGACCGAAATGGTTTTGCAGCTCTCGATCGAGACGAAGTCGAACTATCTCGAGCCGGCAAAACCTTATTTTTGGCCCTAGGTACGAAATATACTATTAAATGGGTTGTAGCTTAATCGGGTTTCAACTTTATTTAATTTACAGTCTGTTTCAAAAGTAGAAAAATAAGCAAATACATTAACAATAATACAACGTTAAAAGTATAGTGATTTACCACTCTCAACACTAGCTGACAAAGATAATTTTGATAACACAGCCGAATCTGAATGGGAGGTTTAAATGTCGTAAATGGTGTTGTGATTGTCCAATAAATTTAGTGCAAGATGAGAGCTCGCCTTGTGGTCGGAAACTTGACCAAAAGTATGTATTTTTCCAACTTATCTATATTTACCCTATGCTATAAATAAGACATGTAAATGGAATTTCTTCTATTTGGTTTTATTTTCTGTTTACATTTAGTTGTTATTTCGTTACCTACATGGCAACCCATACGGCCCAAGTTATTTTTAAAATTTTAAATTCGTTTCTTGTGTTTATTTTTGAGCCTATTTTAATTTATAAAGGGATTCATCACATCTACAGGAAAATATCTTTCATTTGGTACCAACCGCGTGTAATTCGTTCCAGTAGTATGGTCAGGCTAGCTGTCATAAGTTTTGCAAAAGTTGTTTTGTATAAGACGATTTTGAATGATTTTCCAATTTGATTATCTTTTTTCACTAGATTTTGTAATTTCTTCTTTGACTTTTCAAATTCTAAGATTATTATGAAGTGTTCTGTTAGTAACAAACCAAGGTGCGTTGACAATTTTACGTAGCAATTTTGATTGGTATCGTTGAAAAATTTCAATGTTTGATGTACTTGATGATCCCCAAAGTTGGATCCCATAAGTCCAAATTGGTTTTATACCTTTTCTGCAAAGTAACATTATTTTGTGTACTAAGTTTTGATTTAGATCCAAGAAGACAATTAAGCTTAGTTATTTTAAAATTTAGATATTGTCTTTTAGTCCAGATATGTGCCTTCCAATTAAGCTTTGCATCTAAGTGCATGCCCAAGTATTTTATTTCTGTTACTTTAGGGTGGTAAATATTGTTCATGGATACTGGAGGACATGTAGCCAGATTTAGGGTAAAAGTAATGTTTTCTGATTTATTTTCACTAATTTTGAACCTCCATGTTTTAAACCAATGTGAAATTTCATCCAAGTTTAACTGTAAATTTGCTGTAGTTTGAACCGGTTTGTCGTGGACAGATAAAATGGTCATATCATCCGCAAATGTGGCAACGATAGTATTTACAATTTCTGGTAGGTCCGATGTAAAGGGAATATACAAGTATGGTTCAAGTACGCTTCCTTTGGGGATTCCTGATTCTATAGGGTAAAGGTCAGTTAAATAATTTTGATGTTTAATTTGGAAAGTTCTGTTTGTAAGATATGATTTTTAAATATGAAAAACTGAATGGGGTAGCTAAATGTGGCATTCTTGTCAATAGTTCGATATATCGATAGTAATATACACTAACACAATCGTAATAAACGAAATAATTTAATTATATTTACTAAACAGATGCTTGTTTGCATTAGCAAAATAAATAACAATTTAGAAGTCATTTTGAGAAGTTATCTTAGTATTTCTGTTAAAGAAATGACATTTCTTCATAATCTTAACATCTCAAATTACTTTAATACTTTCATCTGAAATGGCTACCATACTAAATTCAAACTCACATAACAAGAAATTAAATAACATCTAAACATAAATTAAAAAGTTTTACACCACAATTAAAAAAACAAATGTACGATTGCTCTTGCTCATTCTTCGTCAGATTAGGCATAGGCACGAGACCCTCCTTCATTGCGCAGTCTGTAGTCTTGGAGATAAGAGAGATATGCGGTAAAGATAAGCAAGAACTGGAAAGGTCCGTTGTGGGTTTGCAATATTTATCTCAAAATTCAGCGCAAGGTTAACTAAATTTTGGAATTAGGGTCTGAATACGTGATTGGTGAAATCCAGGAGGCAATACTGAACTTGCACTACTTATGTTTTATCGCATTTTTTACCTTATCTACCAAAATTATGCTATTTTCCTTTGGCACTTTAGGGGGAAACGACTATTTCACCCTGAAAATCACGTTTGGAAATCGAGAAAAGCTTTAGAAATCGGCGATTATAAGCGCTTGAAAAATCTTTTTTTCTTTT